GCTCGGAGTTGAGGCGGACGTTGCAGATCTGGCAGTGGAAGGAGCGCTCGGGGGCTTCATCCGGGGGGGTCCCTGTGCCACCCCCCAGACGTGGGAAGGCGCGGATGGGTCCCAGCCCACTGCGTGCCTCCACCAATGTCTTGTGCTTTGTCCCTGCACGCACAGCACGGCGTCACCTGGGGACCCCCATCACCTACACAACCCCTCCCTGAACCTTTGAGACCCTCACCAATGCCCTCCCCCTCCCCCCAAATGTCCCGTAGTTCTTTTCTCTCTCTCCGTAACACCCCAATATCACAACAGTGTCACTGTACCCACGGAGCCCCCCCATGCACCCCCAAACCTCCTGTGTTCCCATATCCCCGCACTCCTCAGCATCCCCCCATCCCCCTCGACATCTTCCTGTCCCCTCCCCATCCCTCTGCCCACCTTTATTGTGTGCCTCGAGCTGGGACAGGGAGTTGACAGCCACCTTGCAGAGGGCACAGTAAAGCAGCCGCTTGGCCTTCGCCTTCTCCTCCTCCTCCTCCCCCTCCGTTGCACCCCCAGGTCCCCCCTTTGTCCCCCCCGGTGCCTCTGTGGCCACAGCAGGGGGATCAGGGGGGGAAGGGGGCCCGGGGGCACTGGGAGCTGCAGGCGTTGGGGGCTGCTCGCCTGCGGGCACATAGAGAATCAATTGGGACCCCCCCACACACACACCTCACCCTGGGGGAGGAGGGGGTTGGACGGAAGAGACCCAAGCAGGCAAACATCACCCTGGGGTGACACGAGGACACCTGGGGACTCCTCGAGGTGCAGAAACCCACCTTTACGCTCAGGCGTCTCCCCTGTTGGGTTGGGGGTGGGTGCAGGGGGGTCCTGGTTGTCCCCAGTGTCCCCCCCACGACGAGCACGGGCGGCCTCCAGTCCCTTCAAGCGCCGTGCGTGCCGGTTCCCCTGGTAGTGTGCTGCTGCCTGGCTCTGGGGACAAGGGGTCAGCACAGCAGCCACCCCCTGGGGGGCACACGGCAGCACCCCACACATCCCCACCCTGGGGACGTGGGTCATTGTGGGGACACAGTGCCTAAGGAAGCCCGCACGCAACCCAGGAGGTGTGGGACATCACGGTGACACCCGATGCTGGTGACAGAGCACCCAAAGGGCCCCCACCCTATGGACAATGCACCCTTGGGACATGGGATACCCCCAGAGATGTCCACGCTGGAGACACGGGATGCTCTTATGACATGGGACACCCATGGACCTCCACTTTG